AGTTATCTATGCAAACAGGTCCATAGAAAACACTATAAGGTAAGGTCAAGGTTCAAGTTATCTATGCAAACAGGTCCATAGAAAACACTATAAGGTAAGGTCAAGGGTCAAGTTATCTATGCAAACAGGTCCATAGAAACACTATAAGGTAATGTCAAGGGTCAAGTTATCTATGCAAACAGGTCCATAGAAAACACCACAAGGTAAGGTCAAGGGTCAAGTTATCTATGCAAACAGGTCCATAGAAACACTATAAGGTAAGGTCAAGGGTCAAGTTATCTATGCAAACAGGTCCATAGAAAACACTAGAAGGTAAGGTCAAGGGTCAAGTTATCTATGCAAACAGGTCCATAGAAAACACTATACAGTAAGGTCAAGGGTCAAGTTATCAATGCAAACAGGTCTTGCCATAAATGATTTCCATGTTGATTTGTATCAAACAGAGACCAAACTCAAAATAGACGATTGTAAGACAGATTGAGGGGGATATTACATCTTTGATGGAAAATAAAATTATGAAATTAGTTGCGTTGTCATTGACTTTTACAATAAGAACAAAAATGGTCACAAAACGTATGCACATTTTATTAGAATATTAAATTACAAACCACCCAAATTTACAAGGTTAAAACTTTTAGATCTGTTGGAACACAATCAAAATATTCATCATTATCTCCACTGATGAATGTGTTGGGCTGTATGCAAACTCTCAATGTAAAGCACTTTTAGCCATGATGTTTTGACTACAATTTGACCTGCAACAACGTTCTTTGACCTAATGGGTCAAGTCTGTTATTAACCAATCAGAATGCTGTGTTGTACCACAGTCCCTCTATCACCGTGACTGACACAATTCTTTGGAAATTCCTTTCTGGTAACACAATGTGGAAGTGAATTATCGATGTCGAAGTACGATCTGTTGGAATTGATTTTGACAAATAAACGGCATGATTTTTGCAAAAAACTGGTAACTAGCAATTTTTGATAGGTGAACTGAATATGGCATTTTACTTTTATTAACAGGTCATTGTCAAAGTGTAGTTTACGCATGGTCACCATGGTCTACGCACCATGATCGATATCCATGCTGTATCATATAAAAACGATTACCGGGTACCATTATTCTTAAGCCACAGTCCCTCTATCACTGATATGGGACTGTGGTTAAGCAATTTTGAAAGACCAAGTTTTAAATTAGTGGCATTTTGAGGGGGTGGACGCTTTGCCGAATGTGACCCCGAATATAAAAATTGCGCAAAAGTGGGGGGTATGCGCTTGACCGGGCATGGGCGCTAACGTAGTCGAGTACGGTATTTGAGATATGGGTCAGAACTCCCGTAATTAAATTAAATTGTTTCTTTATTGTTAATAATACAGCATATTATTTGACGTCCAAGATTTGTAAAAATAATTTAGTGGAATTTAGCTAAGTTAGTTTAAGTGAGGGATGTACTGTAAAATGGAATAAAATGACTCATTGTATGCAGCAACTTTGAAACTGTTTTTGTTTTTTTTATATATAAATATTTTTTTTTGTGCTCAGATATATAAACTATGGTAATATTCACATACCAATAAATGATTTTGGATATCGGTTTAGCTTGCATTCCACAGGCACTTTAACCAAAATGTTTCATGTCAAACTAATGAGGGCGCCATCTAGTGGCTAATTATATGCTTCTTTTGTTTTTTTTAACATCAGGGATAACTAGCTGTATTTGCATACAACTCCAGGTATTTATTATTTTCATATAAAAAATGTCACCAAAATAAATATAAATTTTCCATAATAATGTGACGATGGTAACAACAGAAAATGAGGTCAGTTTTATCTGCCCATTTTACATGCAAGTATAAGGTGCTTGCTGTTTTTTAGGAATCATTGCATAAAATTCAATTTCTGTATTTACAAATGTTCTTATAATATATAACCTTTCTGATTATGATTAATGTAATTGTAATTCAGTTTATTATGTTTATTACCAGTAGATATTATACATTCATTTATATTTAACCTTATTAATCTGCCAAGGTCTGTCATTAATCAATTGACCCAGAGAGCTATTGATAGGGCACACTTCATTGATCTTAATTACTTAGAGATTTGAGAATTTTTATTCTGATTTTATCATGTCATCAAGTTCATTGGTTGTTAATCAAAGTTTATTATCAAGTTCATTGTTATACAGTAAACAGTTAAATTTTCACCACTATTTGGAATCTTATCATTTTAGAATGTTTGTGAGAACAATATTTCACTAAATCTAATTTGTTCGCCTTCTACAAAATGTCATGATTTCCAGTGAATCATAAAATTCTTTCGATACATTTGAGCAACATATTTTCCCGCCAAAAATTGTGTCTATTTGTATGTATTTTTCTATAATTTTGTTGAAATTTTTGAACCAAATGCACATAATTTCCTACTGACAACAGGGTTTGATAAAAAATTTGAATTTGATGCTCGGAATGATTTACCAGAATATATTCATATTCATATTATGGAATATTGTTTTTTTTTCATTCTTTAATTAATTCAAACCAAGTTCAGTGGTTGCAAAGTAAGAAATTTCCCAAGTCGAGAAAGTCTTAAAATTGTGTACCAATGAAGTCTTAGTTACATAACCTTGAATAATTAAGTGAAAATTGACCAAATAAAAGAACTGATTACATCAATTTAATGTCATATTGATTTTCTCCAACTTGACAATAGAGTTATGTGTGTGTTGGGGCTTCACATCAATTTGATAAATAATACAGTCAATATTAACATAATCCATAGTAACAAAGGTATTCCCATAAATTCTATCACCTCCATGCAAGTAATGTAAGTAAACTTATAAAAGAAACCATTCACATACAGTGATACTCTCTGTGTATAATTGAATGTTGCTATCAGTGTAACCAACCAGTATACACTCAATTATTCAAACCCGGATTATCTATATTCCTGATTATCACACTATTTTTCTATTTGTGAGTTTTTTGCTGTCACGCAGTTTGCAATTTGGTAGGAATCAAAATCAAATTCAATCAAGTTTGGCCATCTTGGTGACTATTGTAACCACATTGCTTTGGTTTTTTTAAGATGATCTTCTGTTGCATTTATGATATCTTCAAATCTCAAATTTTGATGAGTATTTTTAAAAAGTGATATTTCCAAAACTTTATTACTTAATGGATATAGGTACCTCAGGTGGGTCGCTCTCAGATTTGTTAATTCTGTGATAATACCTTTGAATATCTAATTTTGATGAATATTTTTGTCATTTTTGGTAAAAAAGAATATTTTTGATTCTTTTGTGCATTTCCAAAACTACAGATTTATGTTCACCTAGCAAGATTCATGTTTATTACAATATTCCTAATTGTGTTAATATAGATATCTTTTAAATCAAATCCATGCCTTCAAATTTACTCTGAACACACAACCTCTTTCTTGCACTATTGTACAGATTGCTTGTGAAATGCACATCACTAACATTGGCGTTACCGTATATCAACTGAAATGCTGCTTGTGTAAAGATTAAAACCATTTATTTATTTAATGCCTCTATGTAAAGTCCACACCAGGTAATCTGACCCCATGATGTCACACCCCCAGGATGTGCTTGGTTTTAGTATTGTTCACACATTTCACAGCATAATGACAGATAACCTTCAATTATGTTCCCACGCTAAACAGGTCAGCATAATAGCTTGGTATTTCAAAGCAAAGACCCAAGTGTTTTTTTCCAAAGCAAGGAACTGCTTGATGTATTAGTTATAATTGTTGCGATATTTCTACCATAGGTTGAAACTTTCTGGTGTCACTTGCATTTCAAATACTTCCAAAGCAAACATGAGCAGTACTTGTGTGTAGTTATATTATGAAAACGTTTGTCCAACAATGTTTTATTATATTT